TATTTCATATATTTTCTATGCTTAACATGTAGTGTTTACTAATCAGAAAAATAACAAATATAATTTTCTAAAGAGTCAGTAGCCAATATCTGACAAGGATTGTGATACTGATACTAAAGGGATATTATAGGAGAGGAATCAAATAGTAAATGTTAATTCATCTTTAAAACTTGGCTTGCAAAACAAAGCATCTTTAGTTCCCTGGAAGAATCCATTACATGCAGCTTTAGGATTGCTGAAGATGTGAGGGTGCCTGGGCATGAAGAGCCCAGAGTAGGCATGAAGTTCTGTGCCACATCTTTCCTTCTTCATCTCACATCACTTCACCTAGATGTTCATTTTCACTATGTATGTATATATCAAAACATCACATGATATACTCTAAATATATACAATAAACATAGAAAACATAAGAATCTGTCGAATGACAATCACCTAATAAAATGTTCTGACCCTCTCTGGGTCATCTTGAACCCACTGTATTATATACTTTGTATGCCTATATGCTAGTTTCCACTTGTAAAAAAAACAATATGTAAAATGCAATAATAGGAGGTCTTTGCAAAAAAAGGAAGCAGGTGGGGCTCAGCCCAGTGGGGCTCAGCCCAGTGGCAGGTTTGAGTACAGGCTGCAGGTGTCTGTGAAACATCGTGCATCAGCTGCACAGAAGTAGACAGCTGAGTCTCCAGGTTGGGCAGCTGTGATGTTCAGGGAGAAGTGTTTGGCTTTCTTATCCAACACAACAATGAATCTTTGGATTTGATTTATCTCCTTATTTGAACGGATGTCTATAATACGCTGGGGACCTTTTCCAGCTTCTTGCTTATACCAAGGGAAGTAGGTTGAAGCACTGTCTGAATAAGTGCAGTTGATAACAGCGCTGTCTCCCTCCTGGACACTCAGGGTAGAAGGGTGCTGATCCACCTTCTCTCCTTGGATGACACCTGAAAAAGAAAAAGAAAAACAAGAGGGTTGTCAGGTCATTACTCTCTAGAATTTTCTTTTTCTACAGGATATGGAGGATCTCTGAATAAAGCCAGTCTTCTCCCTGGACACCAAAAGAACATCCAGTAGAATCTCTATTATCCCCCAGTCCTCAACTCACAGCTCAGATGCAGCCACAAGAATATGAATAAAGCATAAATCAATGTCTCCATTGTTCTTCCCTTTGGACCATAGACTTGATATCTCTAGCCAGGAGAGCTATTTCTGTATCAAGTTGTCACTTTATTTCTCTAACAAATATAGCGGCTTCTCATATTGTCTACACAACCAATAAGAAAAAGGCTCTGCTTCTACTATAAACCTCTCTGTTCAAAACCCACTGCAATGCTGCACCAGCTGGGGAAGACTGCCACCTTGTGGTCACATCCCTAACTACTGAACTTTCACGTTAAATGGTCTGTTCCCCCATGGATGATTCAGACACAAAAAAGCAGCAATTGGTATAATAAACTAAGACTCAGATCAGAAATTAAATGCAAAATAAGTATGTAAATATCAATGTAGTAAGTATGTAGACATTTGTGCACACTTCTGAGTCATTACTAATAAATTGTAAAGAGGTAAATGCTATTGGCATTTATGCAATGATGGGCTCAGTTTACACATTTGATATCAAGGAAGCACCATGATTCATGTTCACAAGGAAAAATATAATACATTCCTTTTCAACCAAATCTATCTTTGAGATTTTTCTGTTACAAAGACAAATGTTTTCTTAAATAAATTTGTAAACAAAAGATCAGAGCAAAAAAGAAGACCCCTAGATATTTTGCATATTGAAATATGCAATTCATATTGAAATGCATATTATCTCAGAAGCACTACTCCAAGCCTGGTCTTGCCCATGA